GGTCTGGGCGCTGTTGCTGGGCTTTTGTACTCAAGGCTAGCACTCTTACCCTTTGAGCCACAGCTCCACTTCCAGGTTTTGCTAGTTCATTGGAGACTTTCCTGCCTGGGCTAGCTTTGAACCATGATCCTCAGATCTCAGCCTCCTGAGTAGCTTGGATGACAGGTGTGAGCTACCAGCACTCTGTCATTTCTTCCCTTTCTTTCTTTTTATTGTTTTGTTGTCCTGGGGCTTGAACTCAGGGCCTGGCCACTGTCCCTGAGCTTCTTTTGCTCATGGCTAGTGTTTTACCACTCAAAGCTTTTTGAAGAGTCTCATGGACTTCCCTGCCCAGGATGGCTTTGAATTGAGTTCCTTGGCTCCTCAGATCTCAGCCTCCTAAATAGCTTGTAATACAAGCACGAGATGCTGGTTCCCAGGCCTTTTTCCCTTTTTATAAATGACAACAGTTACAGCTTTGAGAGATGAACCATGCTCTGAACATAGCCTAGAACTATGTTCACCTTGATCCTGACTAGATGTGTCTCTGTCTAGCCCCATGTTACAAATCTGTCCACATTTCACAATCTCTCCCTGGTCCAAATGGTTTCCAACAACTTCTCCTTCGAGAAGCTGTGGTTTTCTTGTGTTGATCTTATTTTATTTTACATCTCTTGAGTCACAGATTGTTTTCCCCCCAGCACCATTGCACAAGAGGTGAGCTCCTTGGAACTGGGCGTTGATAATTGGCTCGTGTTGGAATACACGAGTTCCGTTTCCCCAACTCCAGTTCCTCAGATCCAGCTGGTACCCTGCAGGTACCCTCTGAAGTTGAAGAGAAAAAAAATAAAATAAAAAATGGGTGTCAGTGGCTCACGTCTGTCATCCTAGCTATTCAGGAGGCTGAGATCTGAGGATCGTGGTTCAAAGCCAGCCAGGCAGAGAAGTCTGAGACTCTTATTTCCAATAAACCACTCAGAAAAAGCCAGAAGAGACACTGTTGCTCAGGTGCTAAAGTACTAGCCTTGAGCACAAAGAGGTTCAGGGACAGTGCTCAGGTCCTGAGTTCAAGCCCCAGGACCAGCAAAAAAAGAAAAAGGAAAAAAAAAAAGAAAAGAAAAAGTAATTGATTCCCTGTAACTCTGGGAGAATCAACCTCTTGCATGTTTCTTGAATGTTCTGGATGTAGAAGGAAAGGGAAAGGAATAAACTGGGTGCTTGTGGCTCACTCCTGTCATCCTAGTTACTCAGGAGGCTGAGTTCTGAGGATCATGGTTCAAAGCCAGCACTGGAGCAGGAGAATTCATGAGACTCTCATCTCCAATGAACTACTCAGAAAAGGCTGGAAGTGATCTGTTTGGGGGGCACCTGGTATTGAATCCATGTGCTCAGGGGTACCTCTGACAGGGACTAGATCCTTCTGACTGACTGCCCCCAAAGCCATCTTTCCTTCTTCCTTACTAGTCATTGACTGGACTCCCTTGCAGCTAGATATGGCCATTCAGTACAACTCTGGGTGAAGGAGATTCCAGTCCACTCAGAATCCTGTGCAACTTTTCTCTCCCCATCTTGTTGCTGCCCCTTTATTCTTCTAGAACCTTCGGGAGCCCACCTACCAGCCACATGAACCACAGCTTCACCCCAGAAATGACAGAAACCAGATGGGAAGAAGCAGTGAGGGAAAAGTGTGTGAGTCACGAGGCTGTGGTTTGGTGGCTGCAGGCGGGGATGAACTGACTGTACTGGGTGGCTCGGTCTATGGTTTGAAGTGGCATCTCTGCTGACGGTGTCATGCATTTCTCTGTTCAGCTTGGGTATCTATACATACATGGGCTGGGGGCAGGATGTGGGTCTTGGACAGGGTGGGGGGATGGGGGTACTGATGCAAAGATTGGGAAAGGACATAATGAAGTCTTGAAGGGTGGGTCTAGAAGAGACTGAGGAGGAAGTAATGAAGTTTAAGCATTGTTCTATCATGCTCATTTCCTGCCATCATCTCCCAGTGTCTCCCCCTTACTCCATCGTTTTTTGGGGCCCCATTCAGGATTAGCTTGGTGGTAGAGAGTTGAGGGTTGCCAGATGAATAGAATTAAATCTGAATTACTCACTGGGAAGTTGTCACTTAACCTCCCTCCCTTCTTTCCTCCCTACTTTCCTCCCTTCCTCCCTCCATCCCTTCCTCTCTTCCTCCTTCCATCTCTCTGTTTCTCTTTCTCTCTGTTTTCCCCCTCTCCATCTGCCTGTCTCTTTTTCTTTCTCTTCCTCTCTCTCTCTGCATTTCTCCAATTGCGCAAGGTCACACATACCCAACGAAGCAACACTTTTGGGGGCTCCATCGAGAGAACCTATTTCCTTGAGCAAGGAGATGTTGGAGCAGCCTCCCATGGAGATTTGAGACTACAGAAGAAAGGGGCAATGTGGGTCATCTTCTGCTCCTCACCCATTTCCATCTTGAGACTCCGATCTGCTCTCACGATGGCAATGTAGCTAAATGTCTATCAAAGGAAAAAAAAGTGTATTGGTGCTTCAAAGGTAACCAAAAAAGGAAACACAACATACAAACGCATGGTCATGTTTCGTGTATTTCTCGAAATGGCTACCATTCTTCAATGTGGCTTTGTTGGTTGGTTTGTTTGTTTGTTGGCTTGGGGAGACCAGAAGTGGCACTGTGGCTCAAGTAGTAGAGCGCTAGCCTTGAGCAAAAGAAGCTCAGGGAAGCACACAGGCCCCGAGTTCAAGTCCCATGACTGACAAAAATAAATAAAATAGAGTTGGGTCTGGAGTAAAATGAAGTGAAATAAAGTAAACAAAATCAAATAAGTTTCTTTTTTTTTAAAAAAAAAAAGGCCTGTGGCCAAGTTTGCATCTCTGTCTCTGTCTCTGTCTGTCTGTCTGTCTGCCTGCCTATCTCTCTCTCTCTCTCTTTCTCTCTCTGCCAGTCTTAGGACTTGGACTCAGGGCCTAGGTGCTGTCTCTTAGCTTCTTCATTCAAGGTTGACACTACCACTTGAGCCAGAGCTCCATTTCTAGTTTTTGCTGGTTAATTGGAGATAAGTCTTATGACCTTTCCCAGTGGCTTTGAACCTTGATCCTCAGATTTCAGCCTGCTGGTAGCTAGGATTGCAAGCATGAGCCACTGGCATCCGGTCTTATCATCAGTTTTCCAAAATGCTCTGATTTGATCTGCCATGGACCCAGCAGTAATCCCTGCTCCCCCTCCCCCAAAAAATGTTCCAAACCTAATTGTTCCATGATCTTTCTCCAGACTGGCTTTTCTGAAAGTCCTGAAATCACACACACACACACACAGAGCTAGAAACAAAAAGGACTAGGGGATGTGGTTCAAAAGGCAGAGTTCTTGCCTAGCAAGTATAAAACCCTGAGGTTCAATCTCTAGTACCACCCAGAAAAAAAATCACTTATGTTTTCCCTCCTCACCCCCCCCACCCCAACTATCTGTACACCAGCAGCATTTGTGGTTAACAGACACCACTTCACAAGACAAGAGAGAACCCAAGAGAATTTCTTAAAGCTTTTATTTTTAAACAGGGTGTTTTATTGTACATTTTGACTAAAGCACAGAGAGACTGGGGGAAGAGAGAGAGAGACAGAGACAGAGACAGAGAGCCAGACACAGAGACACAGAGAAAGATAGAAAGTGCTTTAAGGTTTCCAAGCCAGCTTGAGATTGGCGTTCTGTGTTTTGGATGCTTCAGAGTTTACATCCCAGACCCAACTTTCAGGCAGACACGATGGTGAGGAGATGGAGGGCCAGGCATAAGCAGTTGAGGATGGATGGAATAGATGGCCCTTTGCCAAGCATTTGACTGAGAAAATTAAAAAAAAAGTGTTCTGACATCAAGGTGAGACTTTGTCTTGTGTTGGTTGCAAGTAGCTTGTAGATCTGGTCTGTCCAGCTCGATCCGATGATGAGTTCCCTGCAGTAGCATTTGTAAGACGTTCAAGTTCATATCTTCAGTAGTTAGCTGAGAAGCTAGAATGTGCTTTGCAAATATTAAATGAACACATGAATTAATTAATTAATTAATGATGAGGGACCAGATGACCTGGCTACTCAGGAGGGTGGGATTTGAAGATTGTATATCATCCAAAGTCCCTGAGATTCTTATCTCCCATGAACCATCAAAAACCAGGAAGGGAGCGGTGGTTCAAGTGGTAGAGTGTAACTAGTCTTGAATGAAAAAGCTAAAGGATAGCACCCAGGAGTGCATGCACATGCACGGGTGCACACATGCGTGCACACACACACACACACACACACACAATTGTGAGCAAATAAATGAATAAGAAGTTGATGCTTGCTTATACCTTGCTGAATGACAACATACTAGGTCTTGGGCCAATGGGAAATGGTGCTATAGTAATGCCCACTGCTCTTTTCCCCTTTTTTCATTTAGTCCCTAATATTTTAGCCAAAACAAATGCCCAAATAGTCTACTTGAAATGCAATGAGGCTCAGAAATAACCTAATCTTTGGTTTGTTTATTTGTGCCCATCCCGGGACTTGAACTCGGTACTGTGCCTGAGCTTGTATGTTCCAAGCTGGTGCTCTACCACTTGGAGCCACAACTCTACTTCTAGCTTTTTTGGTGTTCATTGAGGAGTCTGTCAGACTTTTTCTACTCCTCCTGGACTGGCTTCAAATGGAGATCCTCAGATCTCAGCCTCTTGAGTAGCTAAGATGACAGGTAGGAGCCATCACCATCTAGCTATCTCATTTTTCTTTTTTTGCCAGTCTTAGGGCTTGAACTTAGGGCCTGGACACTGTCCCTGAGCTGCTTTTGCTTAAGGCTAGCACTCTGCCATTTGAGCCAACAACATCACTTCCGGCCTTTTTCTGTTTATTTGGTACTGAGGAATCGAACCCAGGGCTTTGTGTGTGCTAGGCAAGCACTCTATCACTGAGCCACCTTCCCAGCCCCGAACGTTTTTAAATTGGATGAGGCCAAATCATTTGTGCCATATTAAAGAATTAAACTCATAGTGGAAAGCTTCCATTATCTGGTGGCTGTCTGGATAGGTGTGAAGAATAGCTATAATAGCTTCACCTTTTGCTGATCACACATGATTCTGAATTGTGTGTGTGTGTGTGTGTGTGTGTGTGTGTGTGTGTAATAGGTAGCATGTTTCTGTGGCTCAGAGGCACAAAAAGATCCTCTCTTTTGTTCTCTAGCCACCGATGGTTGACTCTGTGCATTCATTTCCTCTTCCTAATCCATCTTTTTTTTGTGCACCCCAGGGATCTAAAACACAGCAGAGAGTTCCAACTCCCCCGTGGAAGGCGAAAGGGAACTCCTTTCCAGCTTCTCCCCAGGAAGGAAAGGCATGTAGTTCCCCACGCAGCTGAGCACGTGCCTCTGGAAGAAATGGCGTAGATATTTCCGGAACCTCTCGCCCACGAAGGCATAGATGACCGGGTTGACGCAGCAGTGGGTGTGGGCGATCACTTCGGTCACCTGCATGGCCACATCCAGCTGTTGGCTCTGCTCACAGCTGTTCTCCAACACCAGGCCTTGGAAAACCGAGAGGAGCAGCACCAGGTTGTAAGGAGCCCAGAACAGGAAAAAGACCATCATAATGATGAAAATGAGGCGGATGGCCTTGAATTTTTTCTTCCCGGGGCCTCGAAGCAGCGTCTTCACGATCCTGGAGTAGCAGATGACCATCAAGAGAAGGGGCAGAGCCAGGCCCAAGATATTCATTCTCAGCACGTGGAAATACTTCCAGCGCTCTTCTTCATCCTCTGGGTAGAGAGGGCTGCAGATCGACTCGTTCAGGTGTTCTTGGAATTCATGGAAGATGAACTCAGGGAGGGCCGCCAGCCCGGCCAGACCCCAGGTGACACCGCTGGTGATCACACCGAACATCACCGTCCGGGTTCGAAGGGCAAACACGGCATGGACGATGGCCAGGTACCTGTCGACGGTGAGCAGGATGATGAAGAAGATCTCGCTGTACAGGCCCAGGTAATAAGATCCAGAGATGAACTTGCACAGGATGCTCCCCCAAACCCACTCACCCCACGTGGCGTAGTGGATCCAGAAAGGAAGCGTGCCGAGGAAGAGCAAGTCGGAGATGGCCAAGTTGAGCAGGTAGATGTTGGCCAGAATCCTGAGCCTCTTGTATTTGATGAGAATCACCAGGACCATGGTGTTCCCCAGCAGGCCCAGGATGAACACCAGAGAATACAGAGGGGGCAGGAACTGAGCCCCCTGCTCCTTGATGCTGATTTTCTCACAAGGCGAAGCCCAGTTGTAATCATAAGGTGTTGTGCCAATCACCACCCCGGTCCAAGTCTCCATTCTAGGAGTCTCCATTCTACTTGGTCCTGTAATCAAAGAAAACCAAACCAAATGCCAGGATTAATCACCATGACACACTCCAGTGGTTGATGTACTTACTCAGATGTAAAGGAGCTGAGCTGTTTAGCCTTTCTTTCTTTCTTTTTTTTTTCCCCTCCAGTCCTGGAGCTTGAACTCTGGGCCTGAGCACTGTCTCTGAGCTTCTTTTGCCCAAGGCTAGCTCTCTAACCACTTTGAGCCACAGTGCCACTTCCAGCTTTTTCTGTGGATGTGGTACTGAGGAATCGAACTCAGGGCTTCACGCATGCTAGACGAGTGCTCTACCCATTGAGCCACCTTCCCAGCCGCTGTCTGTACATTTTAGAGATCCCTTAGAATGTAGTTCAAAAGATGTATCAGCAACTGGAGCCAGTGATTCATGCCTGTAACCATAGCTACTCAGGAGGCTGAGATCTGAGGATCAAGGTTTGAAGCCAGCCTGGCTAGGAAAGTCCATGAGACTCTTTTTTTTTATTTTGTCAGTCGTGGGGCTTGAACTCTGGGCCTGGGCGCTGTCCCTCAGCTCTTCAGCTCAAGGCGAGCGCTCTACCACTTGAGCTACAGCGCCA